GTAATGGGGCGACGAGTCTTGGTGCCGCCGCCGACATGGTTGAATTGAAAGCCCATTAGACCTTCCACCAGTGCACTCTTTCCATCTGTTTGGTAGCCCACCACTAACACAGCCGGTGCGTCGAATGGAGTCTTCAGTTCCTGTGCTAACCCATGTAGCTCATTATAAGCTTCATACAGCCTCCATTGCTCCTCCATTTCTAGTTTTCTCCAAACTAAACTAAAGAGTTTACCTGGATCACCGACTCTTGCTGTTTCTTATCCACTTGAAGTCGGGGTTGTGGGTTTTTGTTAACAGTGTCTTCACTGTTCTGTAGCATTGAGTTAATTATAAGTTAGTCCCTGTATTGTTTCAAAGAGAATAAATCAGTCCATTTTGTATGACGAATAATTAAATAGTCCATGTAGGTTTAAATTATTCTTAATTTGATGTGTTTTTGCGGTGCCGCAGAAATTCGATTTTTTTTTGTTCAAATTAATTTTATTTTTTTGTGTATTTTGATTGTTTTAATATATTTATATTAAAAATAAATTTAAAAGAATATTATTATCATATATTTTTAAATAATTTTTTGAAAGAAATAACTGCTATTAAAATAATAAATACTAAATGTATTCTTAAAAAAAAATTGATGATATCATCGTGCATTTATCTTTGATTTTTCGAAGAACAATTGTCGAGTAGATTTTTCATAGTGAAGATGTCAGCCCATAAAGAGGCCCAATAATAATTTCTCCAACAATTTGGACCCGGACTGAGCAGTTTAGTCTTCGCTTTGGACTACTTGTCTTTGCTTCAACGTTGGTAGATTGACTCGACAAAGCCATTTCTAGACAAGTTGCCTTGTAATTTCTTACTTCCTTTATTATTATTATTTTTTTAAGAGCGGAATTAATTGGATGTACAGATAATTCTTCTTCGAATTGAGTTCTTGTGTTTCTTTTTAATAATTGAGTTCATTTTTTAATTAAAACTCAAGCGACACCTGATTTAATGTATTAAAATAGTTATTTTTTAAATAATGATATTTCAACTTTAAAATGAAATAAAATAATATTACTTTTATCCTTTTTGAATCTTTCTAGATTGAGTTGTCTAACCCTTAGCCTAAGTCTTGGAATGGATAAGTCTTGTATACATGGTTAAGCATTCTTATATTCAGTTTTGACACGTTAAAACTTAAGTCTTTTTTCCAATTGGACGACCTTATACAGACCATTGACATGTAGATCTAACATTATATTCATCAAGAGATTTCGGGAGAAAAAGAAAAGGGTAATTTATGTACTTTTTTAGATATCATTTAATTGATGTCCCGGGAAGAGACATAAACAATAAAAACCAAAAAGATAAATATATATATATATATAATTGTGTTTAGCAAGCAAAATAATGATATATAAAATAAAATGATTATGTTTGTATCTGATTTGATTATAATGGATAAGATAAAATAAGATATAAAAAAATATATATTACTTTTATTGTTAAACTTACATATTTAAAAATAATAATTCAATATTTTTGGTTCTTTTAGTCTTTATTGAATGTTAGAATTAATAATACTATAATGATATTAATTATAAGAGGAGGACTGGCTTTACAAGTTGACTTGGAGTTAGTCCAAAAAAAATGATTAACTTAACTTTATTCCAGTTAATAATCTAGGCTACACCATGATAAAATTCAAATCAAAAACTTGTTAACTTTTTTGAAGAATAAATTATTTTTTTGTAAAGTTAGTTGAGTTGGTTCTCTCAACCCATGACTTAAATATTGTCTCGGTTCGACTCTCTAATCGAGTTTTAAAATTATGATAATAATTATTGTTATCCATATATTGATTTATTTCAACTCGTATTGACCCTCCCAACCCGTGACTTGAGTCTTACCCAGTTGACCTTCGAGTCGGATTTTAAAACTATGTTAATAATAATTTTTATTTTTACAATGATATGGGTCAAAGCAAGTTGACTCTCTTGATTTATAGCCTACGTTTTGCCCTAGGTTAACCCACGAATTAATTTTTAAAAATATAATAATTATTATTTTTATTTTATGCCGGTTAAAGTTGACCCTTCTGAAACGTAACTGGAGCTTTACCCCCTGGCAACCCTCAAATCGGGTTTTAAAACTATGATGATAATTATTTTTGTATTCATATTGACCTAAGTTAATGGTCAACCCAACTTGACCTTTAAATCAGGTTATAAAATTATAGTAATAATTAATTTTATTTTTATAATAATTTGGATTAACTCAACCCATGACTCGAGTTTTGACCAATGGCCCGAACTTTGTTCCATATCAACCCTTGAGTCAGGTATTAAAATTATAGGTCAATCCAACCACTTGAGCTTTGTTTTAAATCGACTCCCGAGTTGGATTTTAAAATTATAATCATAATCATAATTATTTTTATTTTTACTTGTCTTGATTAGACAATTTTTAAATTGAGAGTTTTTTATAAATATATTTTATTAATACAAAAATAATAAATATCATCCTTAAATACCTATTCCCTTTATATCTCTTATTTTAAAAATACAAAAATTCACTTTAAAATAATCTAACAAAATATATTTATATCTTCTTTTTTTTTTAAAGCTATATTAATTTTCTTACAAGAAGCATGGAGGAACGGTGGGATTGATGATCTGCCTCCATTCCAAAGGATCCGCAACACAGCTGGTAGTTTTTTCCTGCTCACGCCCAGCCAGCCCACCAGCAGTTGACATTTCAATTATCCGTTCGATAAAATGTGCATCTTCATTTAAATTCAACATTTTGCCCCGTGATCTCCACCACTGTTTGCCTAATTACCAGCTAATTTGTCCTTGATTCTACCAGCCCACCGCGCACTATTGCTGATCTTATGCTAGTAATATTGTATTCACCCACCCAGGCCACCCAGGAGGACCAGGACTCCTGGTCAGAGTCAACTACACCGTGGCTCAGGAACCAGCAGACCAGTCAAAATAAAGAAGCGTAAACATGGGGTTTGCTGTTGTCGTGTTCTTCAGTTCTCTCCAGTAAGTCTCCCCTGGACTGGGTTGCCAGGGCATGCAATGTAATGATAGTCTAGAAGGTCGGTCCACCCAATAAAAGCTGTGAAGTTTCTGTGCTAAGAACTCCTTGTGTGGAATCAGTGGACACGTTTTCAAAGGAGACAATAAAGTTCTTTTCACTCGGATCCATGCCCTAGCAAATATAAATGGACCGCCACCAATAATTGTTTTGCCATTAATCTTTTTTTTTATTATCATGCATATCAAGTCATTTTTTTTTATTATCATGCATGTTAAGATATCAAAACTAATTTATATATATTTCAACTGATTTTATGGTTTTAAAAATAATAATTATATAAGTTTTTATTATAAAACTTAAATTAATAACCTCTAAAAAACAAATTTATAACATAATAGTTAAATTACATTCCTCAATATTACTATTAATCTTTATTATAAAAAAAATATTGTAGAAATAATATAATTAAAAAAAATATTGTTTTATTGTTGTTTTAAAAATAATAATTATATAAATTTTTATTGTAAAACTCAAATTAATAACCTCTAAAAAACAAATTTATAACATAATAGTTAAATTACATTCTTCAATATTACTATTAATATTTATTATAAAAAAATACTGTAGATATGATATAATTAAAAAAATAATATAATTATAAAAATTATTGTTTTATTGTTATTGATATTATAATAATGACAAGTCTATAATTTTTGGGTTTTTTTTGGTTTTTTATACTTGATATTTTTATTATTTTACTATTTTAAAAATTAATTTAAAATCTTATATGTTTTTATTAATGCATATGAATTTCATTATATTTTATTATATATACATATCAAATTTTGATTCGTGATTATATTTTTTACTCACAAAAAACATGTTAATAACCTTAATCTCAACCAAAGTTATGGATTCATGATCTACCCCCTCAAGTCCTTTGGATCTCATGCTAACAATAAAAGCAAACACCATGGTCTTAATGGCGGTGGTCCACCTTCATATTGGTGAA